TCTCCTGCTTCTCTGTGTCTCCCCTCCTCTCCTGCTTCTCTGTGTCTCCCCTCATCTCCTGCTTCTCTGGGTCTCCCCACATGTCCTGCTTCTCTGGGTCTCCCCTCCTCTCCTGCTTCTCTGGGTCTCTCCTCATGGCGGGTTTCTGCGAGCTCCCTCCCTCTCCCACCTTCACTAATTATCTCCTCCTTCACCTCTTGCTCCTCCTGTACTGCCTCGCCTTGCTCAGCCCCTCCTCCCCCTCCCTCCTCTACTCCTTTCCTCCTTTGAATGAAACACAAGTGGAAGGCATGCAAAGAAACACAAAAGAGAAAAAAGAAAAGTCAAGAAAAATGCAAGTGAAATGAAACAGAGAGACAATGAAAACGACCAAACTTAGGTGAAACTGAAATCGCTTAAACGTTGAATGCTTTTTCTCACTGCATACCAGACACACTGGCAAGCAATACCTAATCATGGTAGTTTTAAAACTGTATCTTTAGTTACAGAATGACATGGGAAGCGGGCTGGGTCTGCAATCTCTCCATTAGGAAAGTTCCAACATCCACGAAGCAACAAGAGGGAACTGGAAGAAAAGCTAATGTATACTAAATTTTCTTGAGGTAGTCAAGAATGTTTCCATGTATTTATAATACTTTCAAGAGGGTAAGAAAGCCTCCCATTAAAAAAGTAATAGTTTTTCTTTAAATTAAGGAAATATATTCAATCAGAAAAAAGTACCCTCCAAGATAATTGTTTTTCATAATTATCAGAATGTTAGATTCACACCTTTAATTAACTAACATTTTAATTTAATAATGATCTAACCATGGCTGTTTATAAGTTACAAACACAAAGATATTATTTCAAGCAATTTAGTACACAAAACTGTCATCAGTTCCATAAAAATTGACCAAGATTAAATAAAGTAACATATATAGAATATCCTATTGCTTTTACTATATATATACCGGTATTTTAGAAGATTATTTGCTATTTATCCAAAAGAAGAAGACCGTCTGAAGTTCAGGACAGTTGCTGCCCCAGCGCCCTTACCTGATTCTCCGGTCTCCCCGCGGCCGCTCTGACTGGACGGACATGTGGCTCGTACTGCTGAAACGAGAGGCACTACTAGTCCTGGAAAGCGCAGACACATCACTTACATCACTGTCCGAGGATTTAGTGGAGACAGTGTCTGCCCCTCTATGTGGATCCCATCCCGATCGATACTGTTGACACAGATTGACAAACACGCACAAGCTGTCAGTATTACCACAGAAAGCCATCGTTAGCCTGCTCCTATTTCAGCACTTTAACTGTCCACCGAGGGTACTGCAATACCCAACTCAGTTGCATATAAAACAAAAGTGAATGGCAATTATCCTAAAACAAAAATAAAATTTATATGAAACCTTTGTTTTTAGCAAAGCAATCGCAGCCTTTTCACCACACCCCAATGGAGGCCATTAAAAGTTTCAAAACAGCAACGGCCTTAGGGAAGAACACTTAGCTAAAATCTGGGAAATAAACATTTTGCTTAACATTAGGAAGCACAGCTCTTAAATTTCTGATAAAAATGTGAAAGAAAAGAAATCTGGTCAAGTTGCCTCTGTATAAAGACCAATTCTAGTAGCCATCAACTTTCTCTTTAATCCATTGCGCTTCACTGAAAACCTAGAGATAATACAAAATCTAATTAATGAAAAACTAAGCGTTTTAGAAAAGCCAGGAGAAAAGTGAAGTTTAATTTCTGAGCATTTGCAGGAATTTTGATGAATCCTAGAAATATTAGAAAAAGTCATTATTTACAATAGCTCAATCTTCCTGGAATTGAAATAATTAGATAGTTAAGTGGCACAGCAGGGCTCACGGGACTCTAGGGTGCTCAAGTCTTCTGGTAAATTGAAAACCAACATAAATATTTTATGTTAATGACCTACTCTCATAAAATACATTTAATGTTAAAACTAATGGACATAATTGAATTTTATCACTGACAACAAAAGATCAGTTGCCAAGAGTCCTCAAGCTGAAATTTACAAAAGAAAAAGAAGAAAGGAAAGGGAGGTAGGGACCTTGGAGCCTGGAACCTTGGAGCAAAGGAGACTCACCAGCCGAGCAAATCTGGGCAAATTAATCTTTAATATTCTTATTGTAAGATGACAATAATAATCATATCCTTTCTGCATGGTAGTTTTGAAAATTAGAAACGATATGGGTTTCATTACATGATAGCTAGTGTGATGTAAATAAGTGAAGTATCATTACTATGTTGTTACTTCTGGATTCTTCTAAAAACCCACCCAGGATGGCTATGCTATGCCAGTATCACTGCGCAGGAGACTCTGCTAATGCACTTCTTTTATGCTCATTATACACCTATAATATTAGACATACATACATATATATCTATATATGCTGAAACATGCTTATTTTTAGGAATTAATATTAGTCTAGTTTTTGAGAACTTTCTAAATATAGTAGAGGCAAGTTTCACAACGCTTTTGAAAAAACAGGTATTTTACATAAACTACTAACTGTGACTTGAAGACTTGTCACTTCATAAAATAATCCATGAGAAATAGTGGTTCAGCATAAATATTTGATAGATACATTTTAACCAATACAACTTGAACAGCAAGTGGCCATAGCTTAAACATTTATATCCAAATGACTTGTTTTGTTTATTCTGGACCTATTCTGGACTGTTTCTAAGATGCTATAAAACATTAATAATCAAATTCATTAATCTAGAAATCCATAATTAAATTAGGTGGCAACTCACTTTTTTACCTTACCTTTCAACTTTAATTACTAAAAAATAAATTATTCAAAACACTGCTGCCCCTTTCCCCAGGAAATGCCTATATAAAGAGAATGATGGTGTTTATTAATATGAATAACATTCAATTATTTGGTACAAATTTAGTTCATAATACTCTTTTTCAAATAAATTCATTTAAAAGTACCAATTAATTTATTATTATTATTGTATTATTTCAATAGATAGTCAAGATTTTCTGTTATGTACCCACCTGTACATCTAAATAATATATGTGTGAACAACTGTAATAGACTATATTTATATTATCCATTCAATTTATTTAAAGTACATTGACCTGAAGTTGAGACATATATGGAAATCTTTAATTTTACCAATATATCTTTTAATATTTCAACTACAAAAATGTTTTAATTGTTCAGTAGATATTTAACTGTACCTGGGGGACTTTATTTTTCTCATTTCTATAATTTATAAAAAAAGAGAAGCAACCTGCTACCATTTATTTTGAGATATTTCATAATTAGATAGAAAAGCAGTCCAGCATTATATTTCTTATTTGCTTTTGCTCATGAAACATCATATCTGAATTCAAATGAAAAATGAAGAGCTTTAACTGTAGCAGGAAGTAAAGACAATAACAGTCATTAGACACCAAGTGTCTTGAGTGAGACTGAACCACTGGTCTGAATTCTAGCCATATAAATGACTAGGTTTCCTTTCTTGGACTAATTGCTTTTACGAGTGTCTCAGTTATCACTGCAAACAATGTGGAAACAACAATGCCTTTCGCTAGGCTTGCTGTGACGATGAACAGAACAATGCCTGTGTCCAGCACAGTACTGGACACACAGCAAGAGTTTAAATGGCAAATGAGACTATGTTTGAAATCTTCTATTTGGAAACAAACTACTCAAGGCCAGGAAAAATAACTTCCTCAATTTTGTGTTTTTCTTAGCAGATAAAGCAAATGACTGTTGGAAATTCAATGCCAGCTTGGACTACAAAGCAAGACTCTGTCTAAAAAACTAAACAGGACACTCAGTAGTCTCCTAGAAATAGCTCATGTTGAAGTGCAGTGCCTAAAGCATACGGTCATTAAAAGAAAAAGAATTAAACGGTATAGCTTGTATCAAGAACAGAAATAGCTAAAAGCTGTAGTGTGATGGTATAATTATCTACTCGAGACTGTACCATTCTGTTGACTCCTAAGTAACTAAGCATGTTTACCATAGGGGTATACCTGTGTCTTCAATCACAAATAGATTTGTAATAAGAGAAACTTATTACAAATGAATGAGAATGAGAAACTTCAAAAGTGAGACCAAGAAAGTCATTTAAAATTACATTATTCATTTGTATGTGTGTGCATATTTCATAGTGCCAGAGAGTAGGCTGCTGGAGAAAGAAGTCATCAACAGTCTTTCCCAGCTATGATTCCTATGAACTATGATAATAACCTACTAGACAAGACATGACCTCTGATGCAACCATGGCATCACTGTTATGGCAGTCAACCTATGGTTTTCTGATTGGATTTGAGGCTCACTATACAAGAGGAAAGAAAGGTATGCCTGGCACTATAAATCTGGGCAACAGCTGGTTGGCTATGGAGATGTTGGCTATGGCCATGTATGGGAACCCACTATTTTTTTTTGCTAAATGAAGATGTTGTCTAAAAGCCTTCTAAATACTCATTTATATCTAGAGACCAGTATTGCTCTCAGCCTTGCAAAGGGCAGAAGTTAATGCAGAGAATCATAACTGGTCAAAGTGCTTAGAATAATTGTTAGTCAAGTCTAGACCCTAAAAAGGAACATTTACATCACTTCTTCAAGGCTCATGAATGATGGGATGGAAATATAAGAGGCAGAGGACAGGAAGATGTGCAGCAAAAAGATGTCTTCTGGACACGACATAACCATTTTATGCATGCACTCACTTCAGTTGTGCTTACCTACACAGGACCTGTCCAGCACCAGGAACTTCCTGCATGGGTGAGTAGAACCATGGGGCTCCACTGATTCATGGGGACTCTTGGCAGCTACTGGCTGCTGGGGGTACAAGGTGTAATTTTCTGCAGTAGAGTAACTACTGATCAGCTGCTCATGCAAGCCCCTCTAATTAAATTCAATGGGCTGCACACAAAAGGACGACACGGGAATAAGTGGGGAGGGGATTGGAAAGAAAGATTTCAGTTGGAAAGGGAGAGCATCGGGAGGAGAAAATGACTAAAATTCAGTGTGTATTAGAGAGGGCACTGGAGGGTGAAGTGGCTCAAATCTGCGTGTATATGTATGAAGCTACAGGGAATAAGACAATGAAAAATTTAAAACCCTTTAATATAAAGAGTAAGGACATAGTTAATATACTTAGGATAAAACATAATTATATATATAATTCAAGCTCCCCTTAAAATTATGACCTGCTACTATAATTTATATAGAAAATGTTTAATGTATTTTTACTCAAAGCATGATAAGAAAAAATGATAAGCCGGGCGGTGGTGGCGCACGCCTTTAATCCCAACACTCGGGAGGCAGAGCCAGGCGGATCTCTGTGAGTTCGAGGCCAGCCTGGGCTACCAAGTGAGTTCCAGGAAAGGTGCAAAGCTATACAGAGAAACCCTGTCTCGAAAAACCAAAAAAAAAAAAAAAAGAAAAAAAAGAAAAAGAAAAAATGATAAACTTTAACAGTGATATAAAAGCAGTTCAATTATTATTATACCCAGAAAATGAGCTACAAATGTGAATAAGTAAATTGGTTTATTTAGCAAATAGTTGGTGTTATCTTTGCACTATACATCAAATAAGGTTTTAAACAACTGTCAGGCAGGATACAGTTGACGGATTAACAAGGAATGCTCATTCTTCTATTTAGTGGAGCAAAAAACAGAAGGTTCATAATCTTAGCTGAAAACTACCCTGCTTGGTGATCACTAAAATCTTGAGCAAGGCTTTCCCAACAATGTTGTGATATTTCATATGTCAATTTCAAGCAGATCATGAACTACAGAAATTTACAGAAAATTATCATTCTTCAGAATGTTCTAGACTCCCAGGAGTTCCTAAGTGGCCTGGAAAAGTTAATGTTCTTCCCATTTATCTAAAATTAGTGGAAAGTAACAGTGTATCTGCAAAGCTCTACTGGAAAGCCAGAAATCATTAAAATTTTAAGATATAGTTGATAAAAATTGAATTTTTAAAATAAAAGTTCCATATTCTCCAGTGTCCCCATTTGAAAGTGTTGGGCAATTTCCCAGACTGTTATCCCCACCCCCACATAGCACTGCATCAACTTTGGCTACGCTAGTCTTTGTACATGAACATCTCGGATAAAGAATTATGAGTTTCCTCAAGAACTGGTTAGCTCCAACTGAACAAATCTTACTAAACACTGTATTTTGTTACAAAATGCTAGCCTAAAAAATTATTACAAGTGCTAGGC